CTTATAAATCTTATTCATCTTTTTGTCCGCAAGTTTTATGTATCGATCTTCAATCTACCTGGTTTTCTGACTATTTGTTTCCCTCAATTGTGCTTTGTGCCATATCTTTACATTCCCTGGAAATTAGAAAATTCAAAGGCTACTTTAGCTTATTTTGGAAAAGCCTGATGAAAACAATAAAAACAATATACATCATTTGAGTCGACTATTATCAAAGCCGGCAATGTGACTTTTGGACAATTATTGGTAAATCAGAAAAACGAATTATTGACTTTGTATTCCATTGGCAGTCACAAAACTCTTCTGAACGACATCTTAGATAAATAACAGGTTAAGTATTAACCTAACTTACCTAACCTAACCTTTATTTAATGCAGGTTTTGAACCGTATTCTTTGAAGGAGACGATTATATTCAAATCAATCTGTATTGACATATCAATAACATTTTTTTGGCCAAATGCACAGATTGCCACCTTTGATAATAGACGACTCATTTACTTTGTAATGAGAAAGCTAGAAATACATAGCTATTAATGTATGTACACGGCTAGCAAAAATAAAACCGGACACAGACAAAAACAAACTAGAATGCAGGTAAACTAGTTTGTCAGCTCCTAGTGTCCTACCCACAGCTTTCATTCTATTTGAATTTCTAAAACATTAGTTGTGTAGATTTTACAACCGTACAAAGTTTCTAAACAATTAAATTAATACTATAAAAACCAATAAAAAATAGAACAAAGAATTAATAAGTGGCGGAAAAGTAAATCTGAGGCTATGGACCTATGGACCTCATCAAGGGTTTTTTATGCGATAAAAAAGCAATTTAAATTTTTTTGAGCTGTAGCCAATTCAGTTTTCTAGGAAATTGAATAGTAATTCACTGTAACTATACTGAGACCTTAGAACTTTTATCTCAAGGTGAGTGGCGCGTTTATGTCGTAGATGTATATGGCTCCAGTAACCACTTAGCAGCAGGTGGGCTGTGAGCTCGTTCACCCATCTAAGCATTATTTATTTATTTATTTATTTATTCAACTTAATGCACATAAGTACAATGGCGGACTTAATGCCTGAGGCATTCTCTACCAGTCAACCAAGGGTGGTGTAGAGAATCCTGTGGTAGGTGCATAACTTAATGTGAAACAACCAAACTACATTATACAATATACAAACACATACACGGTATACATAAACAACGTACACAATTTTATATCATGATAATAATATAATATTTACACATATATCTATATATAATCTCTATCATATACTCACATAATATAAAAAAATCATTAATGTTTACACAAGGGCTAAGGCTAGCCGTTGTACCTTTTCTCAATACTGTAAAAGATAATTCTACTTATGGTGATATTGTATCGCTACATGAACTGTCGTCATAGATAATACACTTAATATTTAAGAGCTGTCTTCCAGATTTATTATAAATTTACTATCCGTTTTTAAGAGAAAACGAGTTTTAACACAAATTGCATTCCTTGATAAATTTAAAATTACAGATTAAGATTAATGATTATACACTAGAGATACTAGGTATTCAGATATATATCTAGTATCATTTTGTATCATGATACTATGGGGATCGCAATCTGAACTCTATTATTCAAAGTATCTAAAAAAATATTGTCATTTAAATTGAAATCAACCAATGAATTTTTCTAGTGAATTTACCTCAGTCAGTAGAAAATAGAAATTCGATTTGGTTCGGTTGCGGATACAACAGAATTCATTTCATTCCATATTTATTGTAAGCTTAAGAATAGGTGAACATTAATTTTTTTAACATATAATCACTCGATAAATCGCTATAAAATCCGTAAATATATTAACTAGTGTAATAACTAATCATAGAGCATCACCATTTATTTTTGCCGCAATGTACTGCGTTTCGGTCCGAAGAGTGGAACAGCTATTAAACTATACAAATGAAACGTAGATCTCACGTCTCAAGTACGTGGCCACATGGACTTCATTACGTCTTTGGGTTCCGGTAGCCCTAATTATGTGCTTAAGTCTGAAAAATGAATAAATTCGTTCATTAAAACAATTCACACCACTTCATACTTCCGGTTGATGGGAACCGGTTGGATAATTTAATATTAGTGGATAATCTATGTCGTTAGCCCTGACATAACTGATAACTCTTTTTTTGGCGGGAACGCGAGGAGTGAAGTTTTGTGATTTGTTTTCTTTTATCTATTTAGTGCATCTTCAGGTTTAAATGTGTAATAACGGTGGCTTATTAACTGTTTAATATATGTGAAAGTGTACAAATGTGGGAAAATGAAACAAAGCCGCTGGACGTAGCTTAAGTCTCAGTAAATAACCACAATTTTACTGAGATTATATTTCATCCCTTAACATCTCATCTCATTTCATTTAATTTCATCTCAGATGATTAATGTCTCAAATTAATCATCTTCATTTCATTTCACTCCATAATATCATATTTCATAAAAATAAGAAAAAAATTAAAACAAGACTTGACCTAAAGGCCTTAGTCACCAGGTCATATAATACCTTAATTTTTTTTTACTGAAAACCGACTTTATGTAGTCATAGATTATCTAGATTATACACTTATTTAATATAGTGAACATTAACGGTCGAATAAAAGAATAAAATTAATTTATACTTAAAATAGATTTAAAAGTACATGTATACCTACATATTTTATTATCAGTAAATATAAGCTGCAGTGAGCGAAAAACATCTTCACGATTACTCATTCCCGAATGAGAAAAAATAATCTTCGTTAAATTTATAGTTCACTCTATGGATTCACTAAAATATCGTCACCCCATAATACAAGACATTATGTACGTATATGAAGCTTTTAGATCCCTATAAAACTTTTAAAACTGCATTTATTAATAAAATATGAGATCATTTGACGAACGAAACTACCTACTTACTGCGTAGAGTTATCGATTTCCCGTAAAGCTGTCTTATAAATCATTCATTATAGGGCTGTAGCGCTTTCAGCGCTGGATCACAACGAGCGTTTCCCTTTTATCAACATGTATTCTCTAACCTTCAAACACAAATATAATGTTTACTCTCGTATATGTTTTTGTATAAAATTAGAAAAGCACAATTTCAGTAGGAACCTAACTTCCTACTAATTCAACATTTAAGTATAAATACAATAGTAGTTAAGTCAGACGAGAGATAATGTTCCTAAATCCGAAGCCTCAATAAACTAGTAGCCAAATTCAAGCAGAAAATTGTATTCATTCAAGTTCTAATAATGTACCTATTTTCAATACCATTTTCGTTGTAATTTTTGGCACGCCACATGCTATCTTTCCGATATTAAATTACAACCTTGCAAAGATTGCGGCCTTTTCAGCATTTGACAGTAGCGAATTTAAACGTATATTTCTGCGTTGTAACTATACTTGAGACCTTAGAACTTATATCTCAGGGTGGGTGGCGCATTTACGTTGTAGATGTCTATGGGCTCCAGTAGCCACTTAACACCAGGTGGACTCTGAGCTCGTTCACCCATCTAAGTAATTAAAATAAAATAAAACGTTTCAAAGCTATAAAATGATAGCCATTCCTGCCTAGTTCAGTTCCTAAATTACTTTTAAAATTGAATAACAGTTGAATTTTCATTTTTTTTTTTGGGTCTTTTTAATTTCGCAAAATCGTTAGTCAGAGAACTTTTTGATATCTATAAAACTGCTAGGAAAAGAGAAAGATTCAATTTTTTTTATTTGGCCTTTGAAGATAACTTATTTGATTGTTTTTTTTTATTTGATTTGATTTGATTTGACACCAGCCGCCCGTATGCTTAGTGCAAGTTTTTTAACTTTCTCGATAGCGTAAAAGTTAACCCAATTTTGTATGCAGTTGGAACAGCGCCCCTAGCGGCAAACGTAGGCAAACGATCTCATTCCATACAAATATCTTTTACGCCATCGAGAACGTTAGAAAGCTCGCACTAAGTACACCGGGCACCAATAAGCAAGCTGAATGCAGGCAACGTTGGAGCAAGCTGGTGCAGAAACTAGACCAAGGTGGTCACGACTCTCAGTAATGAGGAAGTGACGAAGCAGAAGAAGATTTGATTGTGTCGGTAAAATCGCCTACAAAAAAGATTCAAAGTGTAATAAAAAGTTTCAGATTCTCGGAAACAATTTCAACACACCGCGCTTAAACATTTTAAAGAGGCACTTTGGATGCCAGCGCTGCATCGCTGTATTTGAATAACGTTAATAAAATTTGGACATGCGTGTTACACTATTTCACTTTCCCGCCCTTTATAAACGATTAGACGGAGATTTTTCATGGTCTCGCTCCAACTTATAATATAACAATATAATATGAACATATAGTATAAACAAACATAATAATTATTCATTTTCTTGAACAAATCCTTTTTTGTAATTCACTAACAGTCTATGAGATAAAGAATTTGGAAAATTAAAAATATATTAGATTATCGCATTTGTTTTTACTATTACGTGTCTTGGAGGCTTATGTCAGCCACAGCAAACTAATGGACGTTAATAAACACTCCCAACAATTGCGTATTTATGTTAAGTAATGTACCCAATGTTCGAAATAAACGGCTTTTATGAATTACTTAACTAATCGTTATTGCGACTTTTCGGTTGTTAAAATCTTAGAATAATAATAATAAAATCTTAGAATAATTACAAAGTATTATGACAATATTCAATATTGTAGTATTCAATATTAGTAATACATACATTTCTACTAAAGAAAAGTATTTAAGACTTTTGCGCGTACTGTATCGACATCGTTGATATCACGTTCCTAAAATAGGTATTCAAACAAAGCAAGGACTAAACAAAAAATAGGCGTTCAATGCAGCGTACACATACCTTTAAAATATACCTATACCTATACATCCAAAGTGAATATGACACGGATTTTTTGTCCTGCCTGTCTGTTCAAATGTTTGCGTTGTGTCTGTGGCACGGAGGGCTGCCTCCCCCGGCCCTCCTCGGCCTCCTCCACTCTCCAGCCACTAGTCTGGCTTTGTTTACGAATCGGTGCGGCCGTCTCCGTCCCTTGTAAAAACGCCCACGCGTTTCAGATTTATAAATAAAACTGCATCTGACGACATCCTGTAGTGTTGTTTACAAAAGAAAGAACATGCCCACAATTGAATTTTGGCTTAAAATAAAAAAAATATACATTAACATTTTTGGAAGGCAAAGTTAGTGACAAATTTCAAAAAAGTTAATAATGTTTCGGCTTTCGTTAACTTGAACGAAAATAAACTAAACGAACGGTAAGCTAGTCGTGCGTTCGAAAATAAACAAATAAACCAGAGACCGCGCTTCGCGAGTGAATTATGGCGATCTTCTGAATTCCGCATCCAATAATGGATTGGCGCGAAAAACTTTTCGGTAAAGTGCTCGTGAAATGCGAATCAGTGTCACAGGGCGGCCAATATGACAACGTGCCGACAGTAGAAGCTTTGAATGATTGTGTGGAGGATGGCGAAGGTGCTGTGTGCGGTATTTACTTTTCTTTCGCGAACATTAGCGATAATAGTGACGATTTTGGTCTGCGTTTAGAGGAGATTCATAGACGAGTACACCCGCGGCTGCAAGTTGTTCAAGTTGTGTTGTGGGCTCATGTCGGTACACCTGAAGGTCCGGTGGAGAGAGAGGCTGGTTTCTACAAGAGTCTGATGGGAAAGCCGTGGTTTGCTGTGCCCTATCATGATGTGGACATAAAGGTATCAAATATATCTAATTCATTTTTAATAGTTTCTCAAGGCAAACAGAAATGTATTCTTCATCTTTTTGCCCGGGAAACATATCGCTTTCATAAAGTTTCGAACAAATGATAGTTTTAGAATCAATTCCAGATTAAAATGTAATCCTCTGTCATTGGGCATGAAAAGTCCTGATTCGTACATCTCAATGGGATATTGTAGTGGGCTTAATATACAAAACAGGAACGGATGCGAAAAAATATCGGTTTTTTTTTTTTATATATTTTTGTTTGCCTTAGGTAGGTGGACGAGCTAAGGTGTTACCGGAGGCCATAGACATCTACAACACAAATGGCGCCATCTACCTACCCTACCACCAGCTGTAGCTATTCTTCCATTAATACCGAAAACGTCCTTGTGGTCGTTCAAGCTGTTTTGAAGCAACAGAGGAAATCGTGAATGCGTCAACCTACCGCTACAATTTGGACGTTATCAAGCGAAGTCACCAATACTATATTCTGAAAATAGTGAGAACAATTTACGACATTTCTTTACCCTTTCTATATAATAGCGTTATTCCGTTTTGTGAACGAGGAAGTTATCTGTTAAGGATTCATCACTCAGTGGTCAATGAATCCGAATCTCAGTCCGGAGAGACGTCGGAATGTGCAATAGAGCCTTCGAAGATGACTGAATTATCAAACTACCCAAATAAATAAATAAAAAACATATACAATTAAAAAGGTTTTCATGTACAACCTTCAACCCTTTCAGCACTGCCTAAGTTCCTTATACATCTGTAGTGCTTTCTCATCAAGTTCATCTCCTACATTAAGCGCTTAATCTCAGGCCAAGATCTTGCTTATCTCTATTACTACCAAAGTCAACATACTTTATTTTATAAACGTATCTACCCTTAACTACAACAACACTAGAATTAAAAAAGAAAAAATCAAATTAAACTTTTTGTTTTTAATTGATATGCTATTTCGATCTTCCATGAATACATATTAACACTCCGTTCTTATTTCGAAATGAAATATTAAAAACGCATTAACATTTACTGCATTAACATTAACATTTACTAACAGCCAAAGAAAGATCTTACTAATTCGTCCGAGCTAAAGCACTTCTATAAAACGGAAGATTCTCGAAAAAGATTACCAGTAACCATTCTCGCTTTTAATACTCACGAAGGAATGAAATCGGAGGAAAAGTATGTTCTAAAGAATCCTTGCATACCGCCCATTGAAACGTTTCACTCTAAGGGCTCGCCCTGCTGAGTACCTTTCCTCATCATTGAGAAGGTCCACAAAAATTAACGAAAACAGAATACTCACACGAAAAAAAATCTATTCAATTTACATTTACATTCACGATGTGTCAATATAAAGGTTTTTTTTTTTAATTATTCAAAGATTACTGGTGGCCCGGAGGCCTTTCCAGTTTCACCTGGTCAGGTGGGCGAGCAAAGGCTCAGCCAGGAGGGTTATATAAAGGTACTCAATGTTGTAGTAAAAAATCCGAAGTGAAATCGCATTGACAATGATCCTAGAATTGTATTTTCTTCAAATCGGGCGAGTCGTAAACAGAATTAAAAAATATATATTATATTCATAGCCACCGTTGAATGGCAGTCACGATAGATAATATAAATAATATTTACGACTAGCAGATACCGAAGAAAGTACTGTATTACCAAGTACTCCATCACCTAGTACAAAGTAAATTAGGATGTCTAGTCATTCGTGTGAGACCACAAAAACTTTTAAAGAGTAAAACTAGTTAGAATTCTAATCCTAGAATCAACAACTGCTCGTTTACGAAGATTAAAAACATATTATGTAAAATTCATGAAATCCAACCAATGGGCGTTCGTAAATTGACCATCGAATTTCTAAATGTGCTCGAGAATATTAACAAAAATTATGATCGAACAATTTCAAGTAGTACATATGAAGAGGAGTCAATAACGTAACCAATAATGTCAATAATACCAAGCGAGAAGTAATTTTAAAATTCTTAAATAAATTTAAAAGTCTGAATAAACTGGACCTTCTGTATTTTGTTTGCGACGCGGAGCTGCGTCACTCAGTAGCCATGTATCACCGTAACTTCCCCCCATTTCAAGAGGGGTTTTTTTATATTCGCCCCATGAAACAGGTGCACCGTCGTTCATTAATAACGGTGTTTTAGGGGGGAAACGCTGGCTCGGGAGCGATTGGTTAAATTAAATTTATAAAAATGAAACAAGGGGCCCATCGCTTGTCTTTAATCGATTTTATTGAGAAAACATTCCTTAACGTAATTATCTTACATTTACGTCTCTATAACTATTAATTACCATCGTCTAATACGCGTTTCCAAACATCGCTTAGAGTCAGACGTCACGGTTCATCAAACCTTAACCGTCTTTATCAGTAAACATACAAATATGTAATGGACTTGATTAAAACAAAAATTAAATGATGATGAGAATTGCTAGATTTCATCAGATACTTTTGCCGAAGTCCTAATTTGTTGGTGGCCTTGCCTAAAAGTTCATAAAGTACATTTTTTTTTGGATGGAAGGACCGCGTCTGTTTCTTCCATTCCAACCTTGCTGCTTGGCTTGAAAGAAAAGTGCGAGAATTCAGGATGATTTGTTAATAAGTACCCAACAGCAAACTCGCGTTTCTCAAATTCGATTTCTAAATCTTGTCAAGAAAATGTTAAATTTTCTTTTTTTGTATTCGAATAATACTCGTCAGAACTTAAGTAGTCAGAAATTTCAACAATCGACCGAAGAAAACGCGATCTGTCTTCAAACCATTTATTTCTTCTCGTTCATTCAAATTATTTATTAAGGAGGGGAGATAAAACGTCGCTCACTGAACCAGAAATAAAAATATTGACTCGAGAGCAATGAATAATTTAATTCAACGATTTTGTTTATTTACCCGCTGTTATTCAAACACATAATTACGTCATGTTATTTAATAAGTTACTTTTTTACGATTTCATGATGAAAGGTGGCTTTAAAAAAAGGTGAGGGATCCTGTGGCGGGTAACCATCATACAGCGCAAGATATTTGACAGATGCCTGAATCCCTCTTACGACATTTTCAAGATAAGTTTGCATATATACAAGTTTCGAACGACAACATTAGGACCGTCGGTCTACCGAGCAATATCACCCACTCGGTGGAAGATCTTTCCCTCCGTCGTTATATCTCGTCGTGGCCTAAAGGATAAGACGTCCGGTGCATTCGTATGTAGCGATGCACCGGTGTTCGAATCCCACAGGCGGGTACCAATTTGTCCAATGAAATACATACGTCCACAACACACAACAACTTCAAAAACAAAAATATACCATATTCCGCCACCATCATTGTCAGTAAACAAATCTTCCATTGTTATCAATTCAGTCGAAATCCATTGTTCGCGAATTGCATTGTGCTCTTGATTCCTCGATGATTGATGTCGTTTATTATATGATATCCTGTCGGCTCGTGAAGTTTTATATCTTTACTTTATTATACAGATAACGTAGAGAATGTGCTCCTGACAAAAAGTAATGACTATTATAGTTTTCACAAGTAATCCCTTGCTCGTTCAGGTCTAGAGAAAAAAAGGCCCCTTGATTCGCATGATTTTTCTGGACACTCGATAATCTGTGAGTATACATACCTACAAAAATATTACGTTGTCTACAAGACAACGCTTGACCACGGCACATCAGACGCTCCCTGAGCTGCTAAAGCTGGGGGTTGAAAGTTTTACGTCATCCGCCGTACTCACGAAATCTGGCACCGACAGGCTTCTACTTATTCCCAAGTATGGACAACTTATTGGCCGTGAAAAAATTCAATATCTAAGAGTTATTACAAAATGTTCTTGAAGAGTTTGCTTGAGAAGGGATTTGTAAAATTATCGCTGCGTTGTCTATACATCTACAATATATCCCGGGGCGTTTTGATTGATAGAAACAAAAAATATAAACAAAAAACTTTAACTTTCTGCATTTTTTTCCCTTCCTAATCTAATGGCCTTGAGAGGCCATTTCAGCGTAACCCTAACAAGTAGGTGTGCTCACGGCGCTCAAACCTGACAACGTTGCTAACACTAACCCTAGGAAGATCAGTGCTTCGCAGAATCTACCACCGGATCGAAAACGCGACACACTGAGAAGATCCGGCGAGAAACTCAGTAGGCTGTGCCTGTCGGACTTTATGCGTACTAAACGGTAATTCCCTAAGTATTATTAAACTAAAACACCACAAGGCTGTCCACTATTTGCTTCCAGCGTATTCTCAAGTAATTCGGCCTACCGAGGACAAGAAGGCGTACAGAAGTATAGTGCATCGAGTGACCAATACTTCAAGCTAGACACGACCTTCAGCAATGAAGAAACAGACTAAGAAGAAGATTAAAACCTGAGAAGATGTTTTGATAAAACATGTTTAAAAACAACATTATTAAATATCATTTTCGTTTACAAATATACAAACAACTTGTATGTCATGTCCTCTATGTGTAGTCAATGCTCAATCGGGTCTCTCTTCTCTGTCTCAATCGGCACTTGTCTAACTTGCCCGGCAGTAGTCTGTATTCGTAATAACCTACTTCAATCGACGAGTCGGTGGCGTGTGTTGACACGGGACAGGATGTGAATACAATACAGCCATGGCATTGAATGAATATAAGCATATCTCATTCTGAAAACAAAATTGTGACCGAATTATTTTTGGGTATCTTTTTGACTATATGGCGCAGCCCGATAAGTTGGTTCGATCAAATCCGCACCGCACTAAAAACCCGCGGCCAACGATCGGAAACGCTGGAAAGACACAGCGAAAAATAAAATCCCGTCTAAACATGATGGTCACGACCTTCAGCAGTGAGAAAACAACGCGAGAAAGAAGAGGATCTTTAGATCAATGCGACTGAAATTACGGACTGGTTTAAAATTTAGTACCGGTTTAACTGCTTGTAAATTGTACGATGTTGACCTAAAGACCTTACCAATTTCACCAGAA